ATCTGCCGTGTGCTCCCTCTGCTCTGGGATGAGCCCCCATCTCCTCTCTTCTCCTCCCCATCTGGTCACCCTTTGCAGGAGGACCTGGGCTGGCTGCAGCACACCTGAAGGAGGACCTGGGTTGGCTCAGCATCGCTGTCTGTGGGGCTGGGCTGCCCTTATACTGCTATTCTCCATGTAGGGAACTGGAAACCAGTTGAGCCTCCTGCAGTGAGTTGGGGACCAAGGGATCCTGTCTCTGAAGTCTGTGGATTGCCTTCAGGCCAGGGCAGGAAGGTGATGCAGGTGAAAAGAGCCCCCCAAGGTCCTGGGATCTGGTAGCAGAAGGATCCCAGAACAGCTGCCTGGAGTTGGGTTGTTTCCGGGAATATCTGCAGGCTGGAGAGGACTCGGGCTGGGCCATACTCTTCTGCTGCTGCTCGTCATCTCGTGCTTTGCAGAGGGGGGTGAAGGTGCGGAAGGGGAAACGGTTTTTGTCCGCGATCACTACTGGCTTTGTCATCGTGCTGCGATGGCGTACGTGCAGCTTCGCTGCCATTGCAACATGCTGCCATGGCCCGCTCTCAGCAGGGCTTGCTCACCCTGGACCACCTCTGTGACCCTGCAGGTCCTGGGAGGGGAAACCCCCCTGCAGATGTTGGCATTGCTGTGGGAGGGGAGACCACAGAGGCTGCGGGTGATAGGGCAAGTGTGGACAAACCCCACGATCCAGTGGCGGGTGTCTGGGGTGTCGCCAAGTCAACGGAAGCAGGAAGATGCAGAGAGAAAGGATATTGCTTCTCGAAGGGAGAGGAAAAAAGGATGTTGCATCTTGAAGGGACTTTTCAAACTTTCCCAGAGGTTCCTTCATCCAACATCAGCGGGTGCAGGAGCCTTTGATCCACAGATTTGCCCCCAGCGCGGGACTCGGGAAGGTGATCTCTTAGGAGAACTGGCAAGGTCACGCTGGACCTTGAATGAATCGGCATTCATCCCTTGGCAGCAGCCTTTTTGAGCCGGGGTGCTCCAGGGAGGACGGGCTCATCCTGCCCCGAGTCCCGCTGGCTGTCTCGGTGCTTCCTGCCAGGGGCTGGGGCTTTGCCGGCAGGTTGGACAAATAGGGGATGAGGACGACCAGGTCCGCACCACTGCATTTTCACATCTCGATCTATCCTTCTCCTCGCTCATCCTTCTCTGTCTCCGCACAGCGGGAGGATTATTCTGTCTCCGGCCCCATCGTGTGGTAACACTCATACAAGCCGCTATCTGTGCAGGACGCCTCGAACACGGCTCATCGGCGTGTGGGACTGGCGAATTATCCCTGCCTGGAGAGCTCCTGTGATACCGTGATATCCCAACAAAGGGGACAGGCTGTCATTGCCTGTCCCAGGGCTGGGATGCAGTCTTGGAGGCTGTGGCTTTGTTTGAGTTACTTTTGAATCAGTAATTAGGCTGTAAAGACCAGAGGACCTCCCAGGGCTGCTCATCCCAACAGGCCAGTGAAGTGTGGTCTGCTCAAGGCAGGGACCCCAGGGCCCTGCTATGGTTTGGATGCCGGGCACTAGCTACCTCTGCCTTTATCCTGTCAACACCCAATGAAACCCCCTTTTCCCTCAGTACGTTGGCCACTGCCACGTCTTGGCTTGCTCCATCCCTGCTGCAGGGTACGCCGGGGACACGAGCACCTGGGCTGCTTGCATCCCTATTCCCGTGCACTGGGTGTCAGCCCTCGGCACACATGCATGCAGGGAACCCGGTCATGTGTGCATGCCCCTGCGAGTCTCCGAGATGTTGTGCAGCGTGGACCTAGGACCTGCGGTTTGTCTTGGCTGGATTGCTCCGTGCTCTGCTTGGCTTCCTGCCCCATCTACTGGCATGGCCTGATACAGCCTTTTGGCAGGGCACCCGGGGCTGTGCTGAGTGCCACCTTGTTTTAAGCCAGAGGCAAAAAACACTGAGCTGGAGCTGAGCCTGGAGGCTGGGGCTGATATCAAAGCAGCCTGGCTGGGATAAGAGACCCCCAGGGAATCTCAGACCCAGCCAGTGAAGAGCTGCTGGGCTGAAAGGGCTGACCAAGGAAAGCCAGGGAGGGGTGGCAGGTGGCACGGGCCACGAGACGAGGCTGGCACCCAGGTGCCAGTGGATCCGTGCAGAATCCCATGAGCCCAGGTTCGAGGTTGTGCATGCCGTCTACATGCTAGCATGTGCCCGCTCTAATGCCATTGCAAGGGCACGGCATCTCTTGGCCCCGCAGCTCACAGTGCAACGTGGTTAAAGTGCCTGCAGCACTGCAGAGGGGATGCATGTGCCAGAGAGCTGCAGTTAGCAGGGTGGAGAACAATGGGAACTCGGCAGGGTGGTGTGGACAGTACCGTGTGCTTGCTCGGGTTGCTTAGGTGATGTCTGGGTGCATGCATACTCCGGCCAAGGGCACAGCTTCTTCCAGTCCCAAGGAAGGGCACCGAAGCAGGGTATTTCCAAGTGTTTCTTTGCCAACATCCCTCCCAGCAATGCTTCTCTGTTTTAAATACAAGCCGGGCTTCTCCTCTCATCACATGGCTCGGGAACTGGGATCTGGAGGAAAACACCAATGGAGATGCATGATGCAATGGCAAGACTGAGGCTGCGAAAGCAGAGGCAAGTGCTGACAGCCCCTGTCCAGCCAGGCACGGCCGAGGGAAGCAGGCGAAACAGCAGAGATCAGCTCACCTGCTCCACGTCCCTGGACTTTTAATATGGAGCATGATTAAGCTTTGGGATGAGCTACCCAGGGCCAAGGGGCTTCTCCAGAGCTCGGGGTCTCTGAGGGAAGCACCTGGAGGATGTTTAAGCCAAACCCCAGATGCTGGCAGGGAAACTGGGGGAACACAAGGTCCCGAGATAGGATGGTCGAATGGTTCCTCCCGGCCTCCAGCACAATGAATTTCTGCACCAGCTGCTGGTAGATAAGTCACGCTGCTGGGAAGCAACTTGCCTGGAGCCGGTGGGACCGGAGAAGGAAACCCCAGCCCCTTTGGTGTTGGTGGATCCAGGATTTCTCCACCTTGGTCGGTGCCCCCGGTTCCTGCCGCCACCTCCGCTGGGAGGAGAGCACACCCGAAGCCTTGCGTGACCCCAGATGTCACATGGATGCCAGCTCGTGGTTTTCTGCGCAGGGGAAGCGGCAGCCGTTAAGTCTCTTCACCCGTCCGTTGCCGCTTTCCGGTGTCGGGAGCAGGCGGGCTGCCCTGGCTAGCCCTGACTACCTGGGTGGGCCTGATGGCTAGCGGCTTAGCTACCCGCTCTGGCCACAGCTACCTGCACGGGCAAGTCCCAGGGACATCAGGGCTTTCGCTTCCCACTTGCTTCAGGTTTGCAAGGCCTGGCAGCGCGGTTCTTTCCCACGCTGGCTGGTGACGGCAGGGTCCGAGCTGCTCCATCCCCTCCCGCGTTCGCTTGCATCCTTGTTCAGCCTGATGGAGGCTGTCTCTCAACCTCCCAGTTACCCCCCGGGGTGGTAATTGCATGCTCTGGGGAGCCAGGTGCAGGCCCGCAAGGGGGTCTCAGCAGAGCGGCTCTGTGCCATGCAGCTGGGTAGGGGCGCGTGGGCTCAGTGCCAGGCGTGCGTGGAGCAATGACCCCGCACGGGGTGGCAGACAGGCGGTCTCTTCCTCTTGCACCTCCTGCTGATTTCTCTCTGGATCGTCTCTGCTGCCTGGCATGGGAGGGACTGGGCCAGATCCGGGAGCCTCTTTGCAGGGGGCTGGGAGGGGTGTCACTTTGCTCCGGGCTCTGTGCAATGCTGCGCTGGGTCCCCTCTCTAGGACCCCTGTCTCTCAGCTCTTTGTGTGGCCCCTACCCCTGCAACACCCCAGCTGCGTCTCACACCCTGCTGTCCCCATGCTGCAGGCAGGCACAGGGATGCTGGCACGCTTGGAAGGTAGTGACGCATCCGGGTCTGTTGTGCCAGGGGCTTTCTAGCTGGGACAGTCCCAGGGGCCAAGCAGGAGCAAGGAGCATCTGCACAGGGGCCTGTGGTGCTCGCCCTCTGAACCCATCCAGCAAGGGCTCTGGACCAGCACAGTCCGCTCTTGCCTTCCCAGATGTAGGGGGTCGGTGTCTGCCGTGGGTGGAGAGGGCAGCTAGGGCATACCCCAGCCAGCCTGTCCTCTGCCCCCTCCTCCTTTCCTCCACTCGCCACATACCCCCCGCCCCGTCGGCGCGGAGGTGCCGTTTCACAACACGTCCTCTGCGCTGAGGTGAAGCATGACAGGGGGAAGTTCTTCCTTCCCTAATCTGCTCTGTGGCCTCTTGTGTGGCCTGGGGTCAATCAATCGATGCTTTTTGAAGGTTAGGGTCGGAGTGGCTTTATGGCCAAGGCTGAGGTATGCTTGCCGTACACGCCGGTGTCTGCGTGCAGGCACCTAAACCCGCGTGGTTGGGGAGTACGGGGACGAGGGCAGCAGAAGAACCTGGGACCACGGGAACCCGGACCTTTTTGATCTAGGCTCATCTTGGCAATACTAGCCGTGAGCATGATACAGAGGGAGCAGAGAAGACAGAGGGCATGAGCTCCTAAATCAGGGTAGCTTTGCCCAAGCAGGGGGAGAAACCCTCAGAAAAATCAGGTGGAAAACTTCACCCGTGCCAGTTACACCTGTTTAAGTGTCATCTGTCTGCTCCGCTCCATTTGCTTAGCCTGCTTCACTGCCGCCAGGGTGGGGAGGCCTAGTAATAGCTGCCTGCTGTGTGCACGACCCCGGGGTAGCTGCCCATCTGTTCATCCCTGATCCCAGGGCAGTGCACACCAGTGCATAAAACCCACATGAAGCAGGCTGTGCTCCTCTGCCCGCGTTGTTGGTGTCGTGCCTCAGTTTACCGGTCTGTAAAATGGGGGTCACCATCTCATGGGAGTTCAGTGGGACTAAGCATGGCCTCTTCCCGGTTTGGTGGCACTGTGCTGTGCTGGGGAGGGCAGGGATGCAGCAGGCTTCACCCCTGGCATGTGCTGACATGAGCTTTTGGGTCTCTCTCCCCTGCAGGCCCGGGAGCCGTTCTGAATCCAGCCCGGCCGAGGGGGAATGAACTGAGGTGGAGCAGGCCCCGGGCGGCCCCACGACACCATGGCAGACGGGGACTCGCTGCTGGTGGCCGAGTGGCTGATGGCCCTGCACCTGGAGCAGTACACAGACAACTTTGAGAAGAGCGAGCTCTGGAAGGTGTCCGACTGCCGGGGCCTGACGGACGCGGCACTGACCCGCCTGGGCATCGTGCTGCCCGGACACCGCAAGCGCATCCTCTCCGGGCTGCACAAAGCCTTCGCCGAGGCGCCGCCGGCTGGGGAAGCCCCCGTGCTGCCCGCCCGGAGGCCGGTGCCCATGAAACGCCACATCTTCCGGGCCAGCGCGGGTCAGGCGGAGCAGGACGTCAAGGGGGACCCTACGGCACCAGCCTGCAGAAAGCCAGTGCCCACGGAGCCGGAGCCCCCCTCCGGTCCCGGCTTGGTGCCCCCACCCATCCCGCCCCGGGTGGGCTGTCGCCCTCCGGTCAAGTTCTCCCCTCCGGCACCGCCCGTCTTAGCTGAGGTCCACTCCGCGGTCCAAGCCGAGCCTCCCGACCTCGGCCCTCTGCCCCTGTCCCCCCTGCCCACCATGGACAGCTCGGTGCCGGCGCCAGCATTTGCTGAAGGGAAGGGAAAGCCGCCTTTGCCCCCTCTGCCAGTGAAGCGGCACCAGCTGGGGGCCAAGGCCATGTCCCAGAAGCTGCCTGAGTTGCTCAGCCGCCCGCCCGTGCTGCCTCCCCGGGCCGTGTCCCAGAAGGTGCCCTCCAGGTAAGGCTGTGCTCGCGGGGGTTGGTGTCTGGGTCCGAGGCCAGGGCTGTAGGGCGGCGTTGCTCAGAGCCAGGTGGTGAAGCCCCCTCGCCGTGATCATGGGCTACGAGGAGCCCTGGCATAGCCCCTGCCTCTCTGTGATGGAGAGCTTCGGTCTTCGAGCTGAGCTCAGGATCCCTAAGGTCCCTGCTGTGGGCAGCTCCCACATCCCCTGTGAGCTGGCACGGGGAGGAAATTAGCTTCCCTTGGGTAACACGGCATGGCACTGACTTGGGCATCCCAGCTGGAGCTGCTTGTGCTTCCCTCTCCATCCCAGTGCAAGCTTTGCCAGCCCTAGGACACCTGGCTTCTCTTCCTGATCCCTGCTCTGTCTGCTTGGCAAGGTGGGGGGATGCAGACCCCTGTTTGTCAAAAGCGTGCCCCACCTGAGACCCCTACGACCTGGTGTCCATGCCCCCGGCTGGCTGCTATCGGCCAGGGGGGCAAGTGCCTTCCCGTTCTGCAACGCAGGTGGCAGAAGGGCTCCGGCAAGGCACCCCCAGCCCAGAGGCTGCCCCAGCCCCTCTCCTCCTTCTCCCCCATTGCAGGTGGGATTAGCAGAAGCCTCCATGACCCTCAGCAGCAAAAGGTGATGTGTAGTGTAGCTCAGGTAGCAGAGAAAGGCTTGGCTTATGGGGCTGGTACCGTGCCTATCGCAGGAGAGGCTGGCACCCCTGCGGCCCGCCAGGAGGCAGGGTAGTTTTACACCTTCTAGCCCAACTAGACCAACCCAAGGCACAGCTCTGATGCCTGGCTGCTGGGTTTTCCGTGGTGCGACAGGTCCCTCTAGTGCCGAATCAGGCAAGTGCAACCTGGAGGAAAGCCAGGAGCCTGCGGCAGACATCTGCTTGCTCCATCTCACACCCCGGCTGAGAGCGGGTGCTGCAGGAGGGTGAGCAGGACATGTCCAGGAGGACCCCCACCCCCCTGCTCCTCTCTGGCTGCAAAAGACCCCTTTGCTTGCAGGCAGTGTTGGCACCCAGCGGGATCTACTCTGAAACGCTGTGAGCTTTCCCTTGCTGTTACCCGGGGGAAAGGTCAAGCATGCTTAGCGTGGCACACACCACTGAGAACATGTGGCTGGGCACGGGCTGGCCGCTTGGGGCTGGCAGGGCATGGGGCATGCACGAGGCACTGCGGTGTGGAGTACTGGAGCCTTGTCAGTCACAGAGCATGGGGCACAGCCTGCAGTCGCGGGGCTAGGAGGGTGCTCAGGGCTCGTGCAGCACGCAGCTGGAATAGCCTGGAGCATGGGGTGGATAATAGGGCTCTGCAAAGCTTCGGATCATGATTTGGATTTGGAGATGATTCGGATGCCGAATCTACGAATCCGAATTGAATTGCAGGAAGCTTTAGGCTTTCTGAATCGATTCAGAAAAGATTTGGAGATTTGGCCATAGGGTATAATTGGGGAATCAGTGAAATATCTATAACTTTGTTGTCTTTTGGCTGAGTCAGATGATAGTAGCCTCTGCTGAGAGCATGAAGCCTGCCAAGTTTCAAGGTGATAGGTGCAGGGGTTTCTGGGAAACTGCACCTCAAAGTCCTGAAAGCAAAACTCATGTCATGTGTGTGTGTTAAGTCACAGTGGGGTGAAAACTGCAGGGGTGGTGGCCCCTGCTGAGGCCACAAAGCCTGCCATGTTTCAAGGAGATAGGTGCCGGGGTTTGGGGGGAACTGCACCTCAAGCTGCTGACAGGCAAAACTCGTGACATGGGTGACACTGCGTGTGTTAAGGCACAGCGGGGTGAAAGCTGCAGGGATGATGGTGGCCCCTGCTGAAGCCACGAGGCCTGCCAGCTGTCGAGGAGATCGGTGCAGGGCTTCTGGGTTCAGGGGCCTTGCACCTCTAGCTGCTGACAGGCAAAACTCGTGACATGGGTGACACTGCGTGTGTTAAGGCACAGCGGGGTGAAAGCTGCAGGGATGATGGTGGCCCCTGCTGAAGCCACGAGGCCTGCCAGCTGTCGAGGAGATCGGTGCAGGGCTTCTGGGTTCAGGGGCCTTGCACCTCTAGCTGCTGACAGGCAAAACTCGTGACATGGGTGCTTGTGCAACTATGTCTGTGTTGGGGCACGTGGAGTGGGGGGGGGAGAACTACTGCAGGCCTGGCTGGTAGGCTACTGTGTTACCTACCAATCAATCATGATTCACTCAGGGACCAGCTCAATACACAGCAGCTAGCTACTAGATAACGAGTTAAGGAGCAAGGATTAACACCTACAAAACCACAGACTGAGGAGAGGAAAGAATCAATACCGAGCCGAACTGCTTCTGCCCCCAGTTGCACAAGCACCCATGTCACGAGTTTTGCCTGTCGGCAGCTAGGGGTGCAGGGCTCCAGAGCCCAGAAGCCCTGCGCCGATCTCCTCGACAGCTGGCAGGTGTCGTGGCTGCAGCAGGGGCCACCATCATCCCTGCAGCTGTCACCCCGCTGTGCCTTAACACACGCAGTGTCACCCATGTCACGAGTTTTGCTTGTCCGCAGCTTGAGGTGCTGTTTCCCCCAAACCCCTGCACCTATCTCCTTGAAACACGGCAGGCTTTGTGGCCTCAGCAGGGGCCACCATCCCTGCTGTTTGACCCTGCTGTGGCTTAACACATACATGTGACATGAGTTTTGCTTTCAAGAATTTGGGGTGCAGTTTCCCCCAAACCCCTGCACCTATCTCCTTGAAACACGGCAGCAGCTATCTCCTTCATGCTCTCAGCAGCAGCTACCACCCCTGCAAGTTTTACCTGAATCAGACAAAAAACAACAAAGTTATAAATATTTCATTGATTCCCCATTATACCCTACTGCCAAATCTCCGAATCGGCTCCAAGGCTTCGGAGCCGATTCAGCTGAATCAAAGCAGGAAACCGATTCGGAGCTCGGAATCAAATCGCTGGCATCCAAATTGGCCGAATCTGAACCCGAATCGAATAGTTCCCTATTCGCATAGGCCTAGTGGATACTATCATAGCCCAGGAAATGCAGTGGGTGCTTGGTGCTCAAATGGCTGGGGGTGGCGTGGGGCCCGGGGCTGGCTGCATGCTGCAGGAGCATTACTTGCTCCTGCCTGGACATTGGGTGCAAGGGGCTGCCCAAGTCTGTGGGTCACAGGCACAGTCGCCTCTGCCAGCTTGGGCAGAGGGGGCTTACCCAGACCACGGCCCTGTAGGGCACTGATTGCAGGAGACTGATGGGTCTGGCTGGCAAGGAGGTAGCTGGGGTCAAAAGCCATGTGGCTTTTGGGAGTCCAAGGGCTGCGTTGCATGGGACACTTCAAATGCACTTAAAAGCACCGGTGCCCGCCTGCCCAAGCAGGATGGCATGTACTACGTGTGCTCGCATCGTTGCAAAGCCATGCCTTGTTGGGTGAGGAGGATCATGGAGCAATGTCAGACAGCTCCACAGAGATAACACCCTCACTGGCAGCCCCGGAGCTGGGACCTGCAACCCGCTGAGGGGGCCATGGCCCCAGCACCGCATGGGAGTCTCAAACCAATGCAAGTGGGGTTCATGGGGTGAGGCTGACAGCAGCTGATCTTCTGTCTCCTCCCTGAGGCCTCACTGGAGCCAGCTGGGGGCTCTGGCGCTCTCGGCTGATGGTCAGTCCCAGCTCCGGTTCTGGACTCCAGTGCGGAGACCAGTGATCCTCGACCGGAGCCAGCGTTGCGGTGCGACCGCTTAGGCTGCGTTCGATCTCTCGGTACAGCACGGCAATGCTTGCTGTCAGCTCAGAGCCGGGCTTTACCCCAGCCCCACAGGAACTGGAAGCGCATGGGGACTTTCCTGGCCTGGCCCCCTGCGGGGTGGATGCAGAGGCATGTTATCCATTAACAAGGCAGGGGGACTGGGGCTGGGTGACTCAGCGCAGGTCCGACCAGGAGCGCGGTGCAGGGCAGTGAGGGCTGAGGTCAGCGGCAGCTGCGGGCACTCAGCATCTCCCTCAATCTAGCCCCTTAACAGCTTGCGAAGCTGGGGCATTGGCTCATTCCCAGGGCTTTGTCCCCCAGACAGATGTTAGCATCTGGGCAGAGCTTTGTTGGGCAAATCACAGGGGGCTGCATCTGGGGAAGGTGTCCCCACCGCCGTGAGGCAGGAGCAAACAGGGCGCAGCACGTCCAGGGCCCTGGGCCAGAGCGGGGCAGAGCTCAGGGACCTGCGGGCTGGCTGCAGCACCTCACAGCGGCACTGCGGACCCAGGGCCTGGCTCCCAAGGTTATGATGGATTTAATGGAGCTTTTTGCTGACTTGAGGAAGTCAGTGGCAGTCTCCAGGTCCCCCCCCGCTCAGGGGATGGTGCTCTGTGTATGACTCCCCTCCGGCAGTCTCAGATGAACCAGGTGCTCTTCTTCCTCTTCGTCCCAAATTGGGGCGTCCCTTGCTATCCTGCAGCCCGTGCTCTAAGTGTGAAAATTCCCTGTGCTCAATCAACCATGGGTGCAAGGAAAACGCTTCCTGGGGCTGTGGTGGGCAGGGTCAAGCATTGCACCATGCACCTCTGCAAGATCCTCCATCCCCTTTCCAGCCCAGCTTCGGTTCCTAGCCCCTATAGGCTTCCAGTCATAACAACACCCGCGGGTACCGGTCCAGCTACCAGCCCTTTCAATGCCTTTATTTTTGTTCAGTGTCAGCCCCTTTTGGCTCTGCACCTCGCTCTCCATGGTAGCTACCCTGTGTTGCCAGACAGCCGCCGAGCAGCTCAGGGCATGGGGCGCGCAAAAGCCTGGGGACCGGGAAGGATGCCTCAGCCCCGGTGGATGCTGGGTGGCTTGGGGTTTTTTCTGTGCTGTCGTGGGTCGGCTCTCGGAGGAAGTCTTTCTGCGCAGAACGAGCAGGAAGTCCTCGGAGAGAAAAACCAACAGAGCGGTTTGTGTGCGCCAAGGGGGACTTTCAGGACAGCCCATTCCTTGTGCGGCGTCGGGCGCCGGGAGGGGGCAGGTTCCCATCCAGCCTCCCGAAGCCAAGCATA